GCCAAAGCCCTTTTTTGCTCTTCAACCTTCTCGAAGTCTTCATCTATGTAATTCTAAATCTTCTTGTCAACCACTTGCCCTGCAACAGTGGTGGTTATTCTAACAGGATCTTTTATGATGCTTCTCCAGATTTTGAAGTCCTTCATCTTGATGTACTTTTCAATCATGTACTTCCATTTTGGGAAACCTTCTACGGACAGCAGTTTAGGAATTCGAGTGGTTGTGCCCATTACAGAGTCCAGCTCGTCGTGGTGTGTTTGACTTTAAGAATCCATTGATATTAAATTAATATTAAATAGAAATTAAATTATTTTAGAATAAATTAAATTTCCAGTCAAACACAAGTTCACAGTCAAATTAGGTTTGCGGCCGTAAACTGTGTTCACGGTCAGAGAGGAGTTTGAGGTTGTAAACTCTGTTCACAGTCTGGATTTTACGGTTGTAAGGAGTTTCCGGTCTATGTTCACGGTCCAAGAATCCAAGTTTCTAATTGATGAAAAATCCTTATTCACCGCCCAAGAACTAGGTTCACGGTTCAAGAACTGATGGGGGTTTGCGACCGTAATCTAAGTTTACGGCCGTAAGCTATAGCCGTAAACTCCAAAAAACTTGAGAAAAACGCAGTTTTGAATGAAGCTTGAAACCCTTTCGCAGCAAACACCAACTTCAGTCGCAAACAAATAAGAACACGGTTAAAAATCGATTATAGAATGCTTTTGACGCTGATTTTGCTCTGATACCAATTGTAAGGTCCTGAAACGGATCTTACCAGTGATCAAATAGCAAACACAATTAATTAGCAATAAAGAATAAGTAGAATTGAGAATGAACAAGCTTGCACACGCTTTCTATTAGGAATAACATCTAGTAAAACTTGTGGTTAAATCATCCATGAACTCTGAGGCATCAACAACTGACAAAAGACCTGGCACACCTGTATATATACTGGACTTGGGGCAGCCATGGTTTTACGACTGTAAACAGATTTACGGCTGTAAACTCATTGTTGGGCTGTAAACTGCATATAGACTACCAAAAGCTATCAATTGACTCAAAAGAACCTATTACATAGAAAGCCAAGAACAAACCACTAATTAGACCCTTCACTTTCACTAACTCGCTCACGAATACTATTACATATACTCAGAATAGATAATTCTTCGAATGAGAGATCCTACCTTACAACGGTTGGACTCAAACAAAAGCTGTGAAATAGAGCTAGACCTAACCTTCTAAAATTGTTTAGTCCTTACAATATGTAACTTAACATATTTTTTACTAGTTAGTAAAAGATAGCTAGAACTCCTAAAAGCACAAAACAAGCAGCATTAGAGCATCAAGTACACATAATCAAACATATTCTAATCAAGCCATCATACTGACTACTTTGTACTATCATGCAGTTCTCATAAAGTTGATATACATATAACAGGCACATAAGGCATCCTTCCTAGATCCTTAGTCCTAATCTAGCATGCAGTTCTCATAAAACTGATAACCATATCATAACCCTTTTATGGGTAATTTGGGAGTACTTACTTGAGCTCGGCTGATTGCATGCACCACACCCTTTTTCTCTTTTGAAAGTTCTTTTTCTCTTTTCAAAATTGTTTTATAAAATAATTTTCTTTTGAAAATTTCATACCAAGTCCTTAGATTGAGTTCATACACACCCAAGAGTGTGTCTGAATCCCTCAAACCAAGGCTCTGATACCAACTTGAAACATCCTAAAAATACGGTCCAAAAATTTCATTTTTAAATCATCAAATAAACCTTAAATATAATCATCATGTAAACATCATAAAACATGTATCTCCAAAAACCTCACATCAAATGTCAAAATATCAAAATATCATCTCAAGTATTAGAGTAAAGTATCCCATGCTATAAGACTGTGGTGTGTGCCCTGCAATTATCCTGAGCCCTTCCCTTTGCTAGCTAAAGTACTTGAAACCAAACTGAAATCTGTAAGTACGAAGCTTAGTGAGCTCCCCCCAAACTACCACATACAATACACATACTAAATAACATATAACATAAAATTTGGGACACAACCCAGCTACATCGGGACGAACCTAACATTGGCTTACCTGACATCGGAGTCCTGCCCGACATCGGGCTCACCCCGGTATCAGACCACGTCTGGCATCGAGCTCACCCCGACATCGGGTTTGGCCAAGTGTCGGGCTTACCCCATCATCGGGCTTACCCCGACATATATACAACATAACATATATCATAAACATATAGCATAAGCATATAACATACATCCGGCTTACCCCGGCATTGGAGCGAAGCTCGGAACACATAACATATAACTAACATGCATCGGGTTTACCCCGACATCAGACTAAAGCCCGAAACACATAACATGCATTAATCACAAAGACATCAAGCATACATATACTCTTCTCGTGACCTCCTCGACATCGCACCGTAGTTCGGAACTACTAACATCTAAACGGGCTAGCGTTGTGGCCTTAGACCCGTTCCTACTGGAAGAGAACTCACCTCTCAAACTAGATGTTGAACTCATGCGTGAGGAATCCATGTTGGCTACTCCCACGACTCCCCGTCCGACTCTATACAATAATACTTAGTCAGAAAAATTGAAAATCCATCTAAGGTTAAAATGACCATTTTACCCCTAGTCAAAGTCAACATTTTGAGTTGACCAACTCGCCGAGTCAACCTTTCAAATCATTGAGCTCTTTTCACTCATAAACCCTGAAATTACGACTCAACTCGCCGAGTTGTTCCTCCGACTCGTCAAGTTCTATCGAGCTGCTCATAGTCGCGACTTGGCGAATCAACTCGTTGAGTCCCTCTACGGACTCGTTGAGTTCAACCATAAACTGGAACGAGACAATCACGACCCGACTCATCGATTTCCCTCATGGACTCAACGAGTCCTTCTGTCTGTTTGGCCATCTTAACAGATTAAGCCCTTGTTCTCTAGATCTACAACCCCTACTTCGCTTGTTCACTGGAAATGACCTTTCTAAGGGTAAAGTTTCCAACTTTACCCATTGATAGCTCTTCTTGAAGTGTTTAGCTAAAATGATATTTCCTTTAGGACATAGATCTTGTCCAGACAGCCTTAGGATTCCAAACCAAAGCATGAAAACCTAGATATAGGGCCTAGATGCTAGTTAACCACATAAAGTCTTGAGCTTGCTTCCATGCATGGACCCTTCGGGGCTTAAAAGGCCATAGCAACGGATGGATTTTGAGCATTCTAACACTCCTAAGGTGTTCATATAACCCTAAATATCTTGGATCTATGTTTTCTATATTATACATGCAAACTTTTATTTTCCTAGGTATTACCCTAAGTAGCATACAAAACTTTGATACTTGGGTAATAAAACAAGTTAGATAACATACCTTTTATTGTAGCTTGTTGCTTGGAGTTTCAAGAGTCTAGCACCAATAATGTGAATGCCTCAAATTGTATCACAAGTCACCACTAACACTCTTGCACACACACACACACTAGTGCCGAATTTCACTACTAGAAAAACAGCCTTTTACGACGCTGACGCGCAAATGCGCGTCAAGGAAGGCCCTGTCATAAAGAGAGACGACGCGCATTTACGACGCTCATTTACGACGCGCAATTACGACGCGCGTTTACGACACACAATGCGTATCAAGGAAGGCCCTGTCATAAAGGAAGACGACACGCGTTCACGTGTCGTAACCTTCCGACGCGCGTGTTAATGACACGCAATGCGTATCAAGAAATCCCCTGTCAAGAAAGGCCATGTCATAGATGAAGATGACACACATTCTTGCGTATCATAATTTTAAATGTTAAAAAAATATATTATTTATAGATTTACTTATTTTCAAATTAAATTTTTATTTAATGTTTCATAATAGAAAATAAAATATCATATACAAAAAATAGAATCCATTGCATAAATTTAATGTCATACAAATAATCATTCCATGGAAAGATAAAACAAATCAATAGAAGTTGTAACAAAAATTTACAAACCAATTAGATACAAAAAGTACAATCCATTGTCCTTTTGCTTATTCAAGATCAACCTGCAAGTAGCTAACTAATATGTACAAATTCAACCTTGTTTCTAATCATTTTCTTAAATACTTTACAAACATAATTCATCCATAGTACCTGAACTACAGTTGCAACCTTGTTTCTTCTTCTTCTTCTGAACTCATCTCTTGCAACCGCCGCTCTAAGCCTAGTCTGAATAGATACAAGCTCCTTAACAAACATAGTTGATTTGCTCATTGGTTCCACAAGAATAAGAAACAATAATCACAAACCCAATATAGCCCATGCAAATTGTGTTCTAGTAACTTCCAGGCTTCCAGCAAGTTTTTTATGCATGTCAGCCATGTCACTCAAAACACCCAATTCAATATCCTTTAGGTACCTGCATCAGAAACAAACTCCATAAAATGAAACACATTCTTTTTTGTAGAACAACACTATATTAAAATAAAAACCATATAGACCAAACAGAATAGGCCCAAACAACCATCAAAACAACTCAAGGGGTAAAAATGTCATAAAATGGCAAGAGACAATAGGGTGCCATGTATGAACTGGGAAATAAACTCATCATTGAGAGCACCAGCAACAGCTATCCCAACAAAATAGAAGATATCAGTATAGTATCCCTCATTACATGTTTAATCTAACAGAACATAATCCATAAATAAATTTGTTTGCCGTGACTACAGATGCAACAACAGATAAAAGATTTGACTCAAGAACGTGATCTTGCTCGAACTCGCCTTGAGGAAATACTAAGAGCAGCTGGAATTGATCAGAGTTTACATCCATGGGTATATTTGTTTTTTTCTTTTGACATTTAAAATACTTAGAATGTATTCTGTTATATGATGTAGAACGAATCTCGACCCTTACGTACTGGTTCATGGGATGGGCGTTTGCCATCATAAGACACATCCCTCAATGATCCAATCACGGCATATAACAAGGACGAGTTAAACATCCCAAATGAAGACTCCTACTTTTTTGATAGAATCTCTTCGAAGTCAGTTCATGGATCGATATTTACCCGACCCATCCCACGAATGGGAGAAATCAAGGTCAAATTCATCAGGCAACTGCAAAGAACTAGAGTGTATCCAGAATGATCAGGGGGAACAATCTTCTCGCTCTTCGGGTTCTTCAGCTGTGGACAAAACTAATTCAAGAACCGCAAGTTTGACAAGAAGCACGAGCTTCAGTGCAGTTATTGAAGAGATGACTCCTGAATACAATGTGGTGGCTGAAAGTATGGTTACCAAGGAAGTTGAAGGGGATGCTTCCGGAAGAAGTCTTCAATCCAAATCAGAATCAGATATCAAATCTTCGTGCAGACAAGATTCTGATGAGAAAGGCATGAAGCAGACTGTGGGGAGTGGGGGTGTTTTTATCTATTCTCCAACCAGAACACTTAAAGAAATCATGAGGGATGATCTTAAAGAAGAGTACATCAGATACATGGTAAGGAAACAATAGTTGTTGATTCATGAGTCATGAGTCACGAGTCTGTTGTTATTGATTTGGTTATGATATCAGGCGGAGACACCTCGAGCCATTGGATCAGCAAAGGAAGATAATGACTGGGATTTGTTGTTTGAGGAGCAAAGAAGGAAGATAATAAAATTGTGGGATGAATGCAACATTCCATTGATTCACATGACCTACCTTTTCTTGCTCATCCAAGGCGGTCCATCTGATTCCGTCTACATCGAGATCGAGCTCCGCCGACTATCCTTCCTCCAGAAAGCAGTACATCACGCCTCAAGGTTTGCTTACACATATGAATCATAATACTTGCATTTCATTTTTTTACTCATACTCATCTTTGTTTATTTGTTTGTTTGTTGATGGGTAATAAAATCACAAGGGCAATGGATTTGGAGAGGGCGATGCTAAGCAGGAAACTACTGAGGAAATACTCAGCAAAGGAAAGGGAAGGCCTTTTTCTACCAGACCACCTGTAGAAAGAAGCATTCTAACACATGATTTTGATCCTCTTGCCACTGCCACATGCAAAGGAATGGTTTTTTGCACATTCCTTATGTTCACATCAACTCCAGCATAAGGAATAACCTGTTCAAACATAACAGCAGTTAATGGTCCAACCAATTCAACTCATTCATGCCTTTCTGTACATAAAATGTCAACACACTTGAGGAAATTGATGGAATAATAAATAAATAAATAAATAAACTTACTTTAACTAACTCCAAATCATTAGTCATAGCAGCAGTATGCAGAGTTGTACCTCCATGTTGCGTGTCTTGAGTAGTAGCTTCAGCTCCAACGACAAGAAGAATATGTACAAGTTCTCTACCATCTACAACATAATTAAATAATTATATATATTTAGGGTAATAAAAACATAATTAAATATATATATATATATATATATTTAGCAGCAATATGGATAATTATATATATATATATATATATATATATATATATATATATATATATATATATATTGGGTAATAAACAACATAATTAAATAAATATATATAAAAAATACCTTGTCTTGGCTGAACATGTTTATATCTTCGACAATGAAGATGAGGTCAAATCTTGAAAGAATTGTAGTCTGTAAGTCAATGTTATCTTGTGCAGTTTTGAGATCATCATAACGACCTGATGGAGGGTTAGTTGCAGCTAATACAGAAGTCCTGGAATTCAGAATTGTTGTTATTCCTGCTTTGGTTATGGATATTGTTTGTTGTTCCATGGCTTCATGTATGGCAGCCCTAATATGGAAGGGTGTTGTAGAATATTTGTATAAAAAAAGTAAAAAGATAAGAAAGTTACAGTGTTGTTATCACAAATGACAGAAGCAGTAAGCCCAGCTGCAGATGAGCCTTTCCTGGAAGTGTATACAACTATAGGAGCAGTACGTACCTAACCTTGTCAAAAACAAAAATGTAATTTACTCAAATCCATGTTTTTTTAACTAACATTGTCTTGTAACCATTGCATTCAAAGAGAACTAAGTTTATCATCAAAAAAGGCTACACCTAATTGACTGGCCAATAGTGGAATGTATTCTATATGTGCAACACCATTCATAATATGAAATAATAATTATAATAAGTTCTGTGGTGTACCAAGGTGTAATTAAGTATTACATATACAAAAAGTAAAAACCAAACCTGCAGAGCAACAAGCAATACCTTGTGTTTTTTTCTTTGTTTATTTCCACTTCTTCACAAAAACACCATTCATTCAAATCAAAACTTAACCAACAAAAACCAAAACCAAAAGAAATCAAATCTCCACACTCACATCACAGTCCACTCTCGTTCGATTCCTACAATTAAAATGATCAGGATGATGATGATTGAGGACATTTACGTCTTTTTTGCACATACAAGAGAGAGAGAGAGAGAGAGAGAGAGAGAGATTACAAGGTAAATTGGAGTAGGGTGTGGGTGTTAACGAGGTAACCTCTTATGGCTGAGAATCTCCTTGAGGTGATGATGGAACCTGCTGAGGCGGGCTTGGAGGCTCACAAGATTTGTTGCTTTGCTTGACAACATACAACTTAACTGAGTCACGTAGTTGTTGATAAGGCTTCCTGGTTTATTAGCTTCTGCCAGCAGTTTCATTTCCCGATTTCCAGCAAGGCTAATATGATTTGAACCCTAACATAAAACTCTTACCAAACAAGTTCAGGATGCCAGCGACGGGAAGGAAGAAAAGGATGTTCGCAAGGAGAAAGAAGGCTGACGCCGACAAGGGTGGAAGAAGCAGTGGCGACGGCGGCGAGGAGAAGGAAGACCGACCGCAGCGAGGAGAAGGAAGACCGACCACAACGACGGGAGGGGAGCCAGTGATGTCTTTGACCAGAGTATCTGAAGAGCTTGTATCTTCACGGAAAATAAAGTGATTGACAGGCAAAATTCCAAGAAACATGTGAAGATCGAGCAAGAACAAACTCAGCAATCAAGTAAAAACAAAAGAACTCACTAATTGGGAAAGAGATAAATCTTGAAGCTCTTACCATATGAAGATATAGAAAAGATGATTGAAGAGGTCGATTGGGCAGATTTATAAGATCGCTTGTGGTACGGAGGCAATGAATGGATGAAACAAGCCCTAACAAATCCAGGCGCAAATCCAGGCGAGAGGGATGAGATGGAAATACGAGAGTGGGATAGAAAAAATTAGGGTCGGATTTAGGAACCCTAAATCATCGGCTCAAATTGATAACTGGGAGGTAAGAACCCTAAATCCTCAGCTCATTAGGGTCGAATTAAGAGTGTAAGAGTTTGTTGGAACCAAGAATTAGGTTTTTGGTGGAGGTTATGGATCGAGGAATTGAGGAAGTTGTGGATGAAGATGAAGGCCCTAATTCGAAGAGGCGGGAAATTTTTGGGATGAATACGCGGGGTTAATTTTTTGGATTTCATTTTTTTCCCCCTAAAAACGCGTGTTTCCTAAAAAAATATAAAGCGACACAGTTACACGACGCACATTTTTTGATAGGTGCCCTCCGTATTTTTTTTTCTAACACAAATTTAAGGGCACGCCAAAAATGGGTGTCTTCTATCCTTCAAATTTTGGAAAACTGACATTAATTTTTAGGGCACGCACAAATGCGCGCCCTTTATCCGTGTGTGTCAATAATTGCGTGTCGTAAAAGGCTATTTTTCTAGTAGTGTTTGAAAGCTAGGGTGTTACTTATATAGTGAGGTTACATTAGGGTTACACCATGTAAACCCTAATGTGCATGAATTTCCATATTCCTCATGATCCATGGGTTCTAACCTCCATGGAGTATCCATGGGTCACCACATGGATTAAGCGCAACATAAGGAATCATGGATCATTAGCCCACATTATAAGAATGAATGATTTACACAATCAATACTAATTAATATATTATAACTATAATATATTAATAAATCGTAAATATTCTATTCTCAAAAGTCCAAATTGTTCTGGTGAAGTACAACCCATATGGACCATGCTAAACCAGGTCCAGTACATACCAAATATTGTTATGGACTTAGACACCTTATCCAACAGTCTCACACTTGGATAAGTCTAATAACTATAGTTGCAAATACGACTTCAGGAACCGACCAACAATCGTAGCTCTTAAAACTTTCTTGAACTAGAACGTGCCATTTTAGACAAGTGATCATATAATCCTCTGTTCTCAACTTATCATCCAGACAAATACATGGAACAACGTCATACTTATTGTCCAGCAGTTTGTCTCCCAATTTCTGATTTGTTTGACATAGAACTTAATCGAACACATCAATTGATTTCTGACCGGGCCCGTCACATAAGTCAAAACAAAATCATCGAGGGGCCCACGTGTTGGGGTGCAAAGGTATTCATGATTGACTTTGTAAATGTTTGACTTTTGTAAAACCCATTTGCATATGGAGTATTAGCCTTTTGACACATGTGTAAATGAGAGTGAGAGAGAGACATGTAAACACCTCTATATAAGGTGGGTTTGTCCACTTGTAGAGGTGTGCTTGAGAGATGTAGTCATAGTGATTAGTGAGTGAGATGTTTAAGAAGCTCTAGACTAGATCCCTTTTGTACTCATAACACTTTCCATGTGTGTTACTTGAGGAAGTTTATGGAGAAATTCCCAATATAATTCCAATTTTAGAGTTAAGGATGGATGAAAATAAGAGGCTAATTGAAGAGCCTAAGGCGATTATTGACTGTAAGAGTAAGAAGTTGCACCGCAAGATGGTTGACTTAGTGCTTGTGCACTAGAAATATACGAATGGGCCGAACCTCACCTGGGAAACAGAGAGTGACATGATTAGTCGCTACCCACATCTGTTTGTTGATGCATGATTCCGAGATGGAATCATCCAAAGGAGGAGAGAATTGTAGCGCCTGTGTTTCTAGGCTAAGCATTAATTTAATGGTGTAATAGCTAGGGTCAACACTTATAACCTACTTTGAAATAATAAATAGGAATTATTTGAATATTATGTGATTTTATGTGCCTTATATTTAACTATAAGATATAATAAGTAAAGAAAAAAATAAGCGTCAAAAATAAAATAATAGATAGGTCCAATATCTATGAATAAAGTTGTAATGGTCGGGAAAAGGATTCCGGAGATTTAAAGAACGCTGAAATCCGAGTTATAACGAAGAAGATATGACTTGTCGAAGTTTCACGTCAAAACCGGCACGACACTAGCAAACATAAAAAGTTAGTTTATGATAAACTACTTTTTATCCTTAGGAGTCTAAATGAAAGTTGTAGAGTACGTCTCCACCTACGCGTCAATATAAAGAACGTCAAAAACGGAGTTTGTATGCAAAGGTTATGGCCTTCCGAAGATTCAGCTTTTAGAAACCCTAAGATAACTAAATTCACGACGTGAGCTTTATGACACTCACGACGTGAGGAATTATTTTTCCACATTTCAGAATCTAGAAGGTGTGACGAGGCTGCGAGGGGATAGGATCCAAACTCACGACGTGAACAAGGTGTTTTTCACAACGTTAGGAGTCACATGGCCACCTTCCAAAGCTAGGGACGCAAATGGCAAGTCTACGGGGTGATCATGCAAGACTCGCGACGTGAGCCTTATGACACTCACGACGTGAGTTTCTAAAATCCCTACTATAAATAGCAGGTCCGACTTCAGCCATTCTTACACCAAAACTTCTTCCCTTTCTCTCTTTTGCTGAGGTCATTTTGCATCCCGAGCCCCGACGATCTCGCACGCTGACCGTTTTGCTTAGATAACATAAAATCACACTACTAAGGTGAGTGCATAGTTACTTTCATCTTACACATAGATATGAAGTATTTTATATATTACATGATATGTGTGCATATTATCTGTATACTTGCTATCTATGCTGGATGAATGTTTTTATACAAGTTTTAAATGATTTAAACTGTATATTACTTTATATCTACAATAGAGTTGGGGTAAAACATGGGTAGATATAATAAGACAATGTCTGATAAAATGATGAGAGGCCTCGATGTTGTTGTTGTTGATCCAGTCATCTAGCGGAGTATAGATGACAACCACAGCCTCTTCTAGTCAGTCCAGTGGAACGTTGGCAGGCTCGCAACCTGTAGGTGTTGTGAACGATGTGTTCACCGGTGTACTCCATCCCCCCACATGGTTGTCTTTAGGAAATTTATTTCTAAGGAACCCCCTAAGCAGTAGTGTCCATCCCGATGATGATCCTTAGGATAGGTCCCTTATGATAGGTGTTTAGGGACGTAATGTGAGGATAACGGGAACGAGTAATCAGGTTATTGTTGGTTGATGAAATTAATAAACTATTTATTGTGGGTTGAAAACCCTATGTGCTCACCAGGCTCCCAAGCCTGACCCACTCAGTTTTATGTATTACAGATAGTGGCGCTCAAGCATAGTTGTGATGTGTTGAGATGAGGGATTACGGATATAGGCCTGTAGATAGGAAATAATGTAGTAAGGCTTATATTGTATTGTTTATACTTATGTACTGTATTGAACATGACATCCTGAGTCTTTTAATGAAATACATTTCTAAGGAAATGCTTTTGATAAATCTTTATCAGATTATTGTTTTGGGACAAATTCCGCAACTCTTTTCTTAAAAGGTTACTCTGATTTTGAAATAAAGTATAAACAAAACCAGTCTTTTCTGGCCGTGACTTTGGGGATGTCACATTTGGTATCAGAGCACTAGTTTAAGTGAACTAGGAAATTGTAGGATTTCTAGACTTAAACTTAGAATGCTAAGTGATGATTGTTAGATGAGTGCCTGCTAAATTTTATACACGAGCACGAGTTCATTTTAGGAAAGATGCCTATATTTCTTTGGTGTGCTAAATGCTTTTTGTTATAGATATAATTATAAAGATGACTTATATGCTATTATTTGTTCGGATCAATGGTCAGTTGCCGACCGGATCTAGAAACCTTATGTGTTTAGGATTTTAAGCGTACGACTACGATATTAGAACCAACATATAAATGTTTCGGAGAGATAAGTATGATTTAAACGTCTATCCTAAATAAAGATCTAAATTCACCTTATTCGGTGTATAGATCAAGATGGCAAGGACTCGTAGCGGAAACGTAAACGCAAATGGAAATAGGAACCAACCCCCTCAACCTCAAGTGATACAACAAATACCTGTTGTCGAAGAAGTGGCACCTGAGCCAATGACAATGGCCAGAGTGCAAGTGATGATCCAGATGATGTTGGATCGCCAAATGGAAGAAACAAGGCGTTTACTTCAATAGAACCGTGAAGAACTTACAGTACCAATTGAACAACACGAGCTGAATGATGGGCATTCAGAAGGAGGAAACTACAATGGGACTGTTGGTAAAGACAACCCACCGATAGTTAGGCAAAACCACCAGGAGGGAGGAAATGATGGACACGGATGCAAATACAAGGATTTCATGGCATCCAAACCACCGAGTCTATCTGGAAGCCCGACACCGGTGGAAGTCACAAATTGGATCTCTGAGATTGAGATGATGTTTGAGAGTTGCGAGTGTAGCAATGGCAGAAGACCGCTCTCGCGGTTCCTCTATTGAAATCTAGAGTACTAAGCTGGTGGAAGCTACTAGCTGATTCAATGCCCAAAGGTGAAGCAAGCAAGATGTCGTGGGAGGATTTTCTGGTGCAGTTGAAGATGCAATACTGCTCTGAGCAGGATCTTCTGGAGATCAACAACGATTTCCAGAATATGAGGAAGGGAAGAATAAGCGTTACTGAATACGCTGCAAGCTTTACTTAGAAAATGAAGCTTGTTCCTCACCTCATCCCAACTGAACTCTCCAAGGTTAACAAATTTGCCCTCGGATTACCAGCGGACTTTGGTCCAATGGTCAAGCAAAATACCACTCTGAAAGCTGCCATCTGGGCTGCTAAGAATGTGGAGACTCAAATACGAGAGAAGGGTATAGAGAGAGTGGAGGTGGGAGACAAAAGGAAATTTGACGGATCCTCGAGTTCCGGTAAGAAGAGTAAATTCTCGAAGTCTGGTTCAAAAGGAGGATGAGCCGAAGCAAAATGGTGCGACAAATGTAAGAAGAAGCACGAAGGGAAATCTGACGGAAGAGTCACTTGTTTCAAATGTAGAAAGCCTAGGCACTATGCCAACGAATGCACATTCACTAAGAAGGTCTGTTATGAGTGCAACAAGGAGGGGCACATTTCGAAGGACTGCCCGAAGAAGAAGGAGGCAGGAAGACCCAACATACCACCGAAGCCGAAGGCAAGAGCCTTCTAGATGACGCTCGAGGCTGTGAAAGAGGCAGCAGACGTTGCTTCAGGTACCTTTCTTGTAAATGGTTTACCTGCAAATATACTATTTGATTCCGGAGCCAACTACTCCTTTGTGTCGCATAAATTTGGTAGGAAATTAGCATTACCTATAGAAAAACTTGATAATTCCCTAATTGTAGAAGTTGCCAGTGGCAAGTTCGTACCTATTAGTGATCGTATTCGGAATATCGTCATCGACTTAAACGGAAACGAATTCTACGAGGAGCTATTACCCATAGAGTTGAACGGTTTTCGACATCGTTCTGGAATGGATTGGCTTAACGCCAACGATGCTGAGATTCAACGCCGAAAGAAGATAGTAAAGGTAAACCCACCCGGAAAAGAGTCATTTATGGTGTACAAGGACAAATGCAGAGTGAATTCTGGAATCATCTCCCTGATGAAAGCCCAGAAAATGTTTGTCCACGGGATGTGCATCACACTTGACATTTGTTATCAATGCTAAGAAGGAAAAGAAAGAAGTGCAGAATATACCAGTTGTGTGTGATTATCCAGAAGTCTTTCCCGAAGATCTTCCCAGGTTACCACCTGACAGGCAAGTAGAGTTTCGGATAGACTTGTTACAGGTACAGCACCGATAGCAAAAGTACCTTACCGATTAGCACCGACAAAGATGAAGGAGCTTATTGATGCAACTTCAGGAGCTGTTGGACAACGGTTTCATTTGACCTAGTTCATCACCCTGGGAGCTCCGATGTTATTCGTGAAAAGGAAGGACGGAAGCATGAGAATGTGTATAGACTACCGAGAGCTGAATAAGGCAACAGTAAAGAACAAGTATCCATTATCGAGGATTGATGACCTATTCGAGCAGCTGCAAGGTTCGAGCTACATTTCAAAGATCGATCTAAGGTCAGGATATCATCAGTTGAAGGTAAGAGAGCAAGATATCGACAAGACTGGCATTTA